TAAATTTCATTGCTTTTGGTAGAATTTTGACAAGTGAGAACTCTTATTCTTCTTGTTGCATTAAAAATTGAATTAACTTATTAAGTTATCTTGTGGTGTTTATTCATTTTTGCTTCTTTCATCTAATCATTTAAATTCTCAATTACAGGTTAGTTGGTAGGGAGGATTTATTTAGAATTCTAAGTTATTTATGCTAAATATATATGAGTGTTCTGAATCTAATATTTGATCATCGGGTTCCATATCATAAGGGGGCACTCTTTTCTACCTTTTCATTGTCGTTTTGGAGGCCCTTAACAGACTTACTGCAAGAGATGTGAAGCAAGATAGATTTCAAAGTTTGGTTGTTGGATATGAAGATATCTTGGAGGCAACTGACCTACTCTTTTCTAATAATAATATTTTATTTGCAGACAGAACTGCAAGGCCCTCCTAAACATGATATATTTTCTCTTTCTTGGTTGACTTAGATGTACAGATAAATTAGCCATGTTACAAGTGGTCCAATTCGAGGAAGGCCTAGAGACGAAGGCATGTGCCGAGATGGTCTCTAAGATGTTCTCTTTGTCCCTCAAATATCATGGGCTCAAATTAGATGCTAAGTTTAGAAACAGCCATTTGGGATCTAGTGGTGACTAGTTTTGAGTAAAGACTAGCCAAATGGAAGAATAGTTTCTTATCTGATGTGGGAAGTTGCACAAGGGGAGCTCTTTTCTTTTCTTTTTTTTTTCTTTTTGAGATAGCAAGGGAAGACTGTTACTACTAACAATCTTCAGGAAAATGGAAAGATCTTGTTTATGGTTGCTATCTTTGTAAGGGACCTTGGAGACCTCAGATAATTTGCCTTTATGGTGTCCTTTCTTTCATCACCTCTGGTATGTAGTTGTTCACTTCCTCAAGCTGAGTTGGGTGACTTTAGGGTAAATATCAAATTTAGCTTTAGCTTGGCACGTTATCCGAAGGAAAATAGGAGAAGAAAACTTCTCTTGACCACATGGTTACTACGTAGGTTTTTTAGAAAGAAATACAACTTGAAGATGTGGCTCTTTCTTTTGGTAGAGTTAGAGATGCATTTTTCATGATCCTATAGTTTTTGTTTTAAGGATCACCCCCTTCTTGTAAAGATTTAGCAGGATCTCATTAACATTTTGACTAATTTATAAATTCCACTTATTTTAAAAATCGATGGCACCCACTGTTAATAGAATATTTAGTTAATGTCTGTCATAGTCACCTTCAAATTCTTCATAACGTTAAAAGAAGTTACGAAGCATGCCGGCATATTGTCAATATGTGCTAGAAGCCATCTTCTCAAAAAAAGTGTGCCATGACACTAAGCAGGCTTTAAAACCCGTCTCATTAATGTAGGTACCTGGGGTTGCTAAATTGCTATTAAGGTACAAGTCCTAGTTTAGGAGACCTCTGGGAAATATCCAAGGAACATTCGGAAGTAAGTGTGCCATGACGATAACATAAAGGCACATGCCTCATTCGTCAATCCTATTTGCCTACAAAATGAATTTTTTTCACATCTATGACACAAACTAATATCATCAGTTAAGCACATAATTGCCATTTGACAATGCGAGAAAATGAATTGCTGTTTGACATAGTAAGTTAACACTCTTAAATTATCATAAAAGTTCAAGTTTACAAGAAAAAATCCCATCAATTATTTGCACTCTTAACACATTCCTCCATGCACAAACCTGCTAACTAAAAGGTGGATCAAACACAAGTCCACTCTCATGCTGAAACTTGATTAAAAAAATGGAGCAATAACCAGGATTTAAATTCTAGACTTCTTAGTCTGGTATCATGTCAAATAATTTATAATCGTCAACTATCCTAAATGCTTAAACTAATAGGAAATGACTCAGTTAATTATCTATATTCTAACAGTTCAAAACATTATAAATGCCTTTTGGATAAGTGAATGATTCCAATATCAACATGAGCAACAAATACCTGAAAAGGCATTGCAAATAGATCCTGTAGTCAGGATGAACACCTTCTTCATGTAAGCGGAGAAGAGGATTTCGAAGCAAAGCAAAAACTAATCGAGGTAAAGGCTGAAGTTGTGGGCATTGTGAAAATGAAACATCAATATGAGAAGTCCCGGAACTTCCATTCTTGCACTGAGCAAGTTTAAAGGCATCATTGTATTGAGCTGTGAGGATTACTAGCCAATCATGAAGCAATATCCTGCCCTCTCGTACTCCTTGGCCCAGAGAGGCTAATATAACCTGCAGAATTCAACAATGTATATAACCAACAATCACTAAGAAAATTTACTACTTACAAAAGAACAAAGCAACCTTAGTTTTCCTCCAAAATGCTACCATTTCCAATTTTCAGTCTTATACAAATTTTGAAAGGTTAGCAGAGCTTATTTACTGCACCACATAAAAAGAGGATAAAGTCTAAGCGAATTGACTTTCCTGCAGAAAATCTCTGTTCTTTTGACAAATCAGATGTGGCAAACCCTCAAAACTATAGTGTGCAGATCAAAGGGTAAAGGGCCCCAGGAAGAGGCACCTTCAAAATCAAGCAATGAACTTTGTAAAAGCACATAACAGAATGGAGTTAAGAAACACATTATATTTAAAAGCACTCCCTAATCTGCCAATTAATTTTTGGCTTAAAACATGAAACAACATCCAGTATCCCATGAAAGAAATAACTAAACATAATCCGTAAACATCAGGTATATGAGGGAAGGAAAGTAATTATAAAGGACTCCTCATTGCCATGCCAATCTTCCTAAACACTAATGTGATGAGTACATAAATCTTCTATCACTGGCATCTCATAATGAAGTAAATAAGAAAAGAAAAATAAATAACAGAATGCTGAAAATGAAAGCATGAACTGCCAAGTGAAGTCAACCTCTACAGTAAGGTTTTCTGGAAAGAAAAGAGAGTACCTTGTGAACAAGTAATGATAGAACCACTTCAGGATCAACACTGTCATAAAGTTCATTAATGTTTTGGGAAGTTCCAAATTGCAGTGTTCGTATCCTCAGTCTTCTTTTCAGTGAATTCTTGCTTCTGCATAAATATATGACATCAAGCCAAGTCTGAATACTCCAAAGAGAATGGGGACACCATAAGGCTAGCGAGGGGTAGCCTCCACCAGCATGCATGTCAGATTCATGCATCTAATCGACATGTAATATACAATAAGAAGTTGCCAGCACATATTAAAACAGGCCATTCATGAGAAGCAAAGATCCAAAAAAATGGCATCAACTAATAAATATCTATGCCATAGAACTAACCGTACCTACTTGATGAAACTGGTTCTGAACTTTTAAGTTCTTCAGGAGGCACAACAACTGTATATTGGAAAGCAATCTGCAACACAGGCTGTTCTGCAACATGTCTACAAAATATCAATAAGATAACCTTTAGTTTTATAGTTCTCCTGCCTGTTTATGCATATTGCAGTAAATTAACCGTGGTGCAACAGAGCACATTTGATCGACAACCAAAATATTATGAAAGAAAAGCGTCATGGAACCAGGGAAATGCCTGTAATAAGCTCATTATGACGTCATCATCAATGAGGGAGAAAAAAGACAATCATGAATGAACAGCTAACTTCCAACCAGAAAAGTACCAGAAATGTTGTGTTAACAAAGAGGAAAAAGAAAAAAAAAATGGTTCATAGGCATGTCAACTTTAGTTCTATGGGTTATGAGAGACGTAAACAAAAATGGAATAAAGGCACTACAGGCACTTGCCTGATCATTGTTGCCCAAGTCAAAACTTGTTGAGTGCTTTACAGTCATGGATCAAATTCCCAGTCAAATAACTCCCTTATTGCTAAGTATGCATGAGTGCATGGGTGGGGAATTATTGAAGTTAAATTTGGTTATTGTTTTTATATGCACCAAAAAAGGGAATAAAAAAATGGCACAACTGATTCAAACAACAATGAAGCAGTATGCAGTTTTCACTAGCTGTCTTTGTTACTGACAAAATGATGAATATGCCTTTCATAAGCTCATGATAATGCCAGCAGAGACACAATTACGATCGAAAATCTAACTTTCTGAATGAAGAAAAATTTTGTTATTTACTGAAACAAGACAAAAAGGAAGAAGGGTATGGGACGGGGGAAAGAAACCTAGGTGATGTTTAAACATAATATTGTTTATTTGACAAATATATTTATTACTTTAATAAATTAACATTATTGCATAAGGACACACATACCATGTGCCTACATTAACAAATTTTGTACAAGACAAAGTTGAAAGTCCTAAACTAAAAACTAGTAAGGATTAGCCTGACAACAGAGTTTCATAGATCTACCATATTCATGCAAGGTAGAGCACCCAGACTAAAAGAACAGCGTAAGCATATGAAATGCACTCAATACCAGATTTTAAGCTTCCTGTTTCATGTATTAATACACCTTTATGATAAATGACAATCAATTATGAAAAATTTCTATAGCACGACATATTTGTACCTGGAAAAGCCAGTATTATTGGCAAAATCGAAGTCATAAGCATAGGTTGCATAAGAATCACAACATATGATATGTTGAACATTTTCATATTGAGGATCTAGGAAGAAATGACCATACTGAAAAAAGAAAAGGAAAGTATTAAAGAAAGTAAGACAATCCTTCTTAAAAATCAAACAATTCATTATAACCACTCACAGAATGACCGGGACTGAATTCAGAAGATGTCCTCAGCCGCAGTATACAATTGAATGCATATGGTCGACTCAGCATTCGATACCTACAGAAGACTTACGCAATATTATTGTCTGATTGCAAACTAGCAAAAAAGTGGTCTTGAATGTGAAATCTATAAGTAAACTTGTTTGTATATTTGTGTTCAAATGAAGAAGTAAAAGTAGCCATTCTATT